AAAACTCTGGGCTGCCTCAAAATCCAATTGTGGACTGATTAAATCAGCTGCTCCAGTTCATGTGTATCTGAAACCTAATGCCTCTCTACCAAGGATTCCACAGTATGCCTTGAATAGGGTGTCTATAGAAGGTATACGCCCTGTTATTCATTTCTTACTGGAGCAAGGCATTTTAATACACACCTCTAGCCCTTGCAACACTCCAGTCAAAAGCCAGGATCGGAACCTCCTGCTTGGAGATTAGTACAGGATTTGAGGGCCATAAATGAGATTGTTCATCCTATCTTTCCTACAGTAGCAAATCCCAATGTAATTCTTTCTGAGGTTCCACCTGATACGTCATTTTTCACTGTGGTGGGTATCAGTGCATCCAGATTCTCAGTTTTTGTTTGCTTTCACTTAAGTTGGGGATCAGTATCCCTTCACACGAGCCCCTCAAGGGTATTATGAAAGCCCAGCATGGTATAGTGTTGTTTTGAGGAAGGATCTGACAGCCTTGGTGCTTCCCTATGATTCTTGTTTAATACAGTATGTGGGTGATTTATTAATAACTGCTAAGGATTTGATGTCCTGTCAGGAGGTCTCTCTGGCTCTTTTGTCTTTCCTGGCTGAACAGGGGCACAAAGCTAATTTACAAAAACTGCAGTTTTGCCTCCCCAGAGTATCCTACTTGGGCTTTTATCTGTTGGCAGGAAAAAGGGAATTACCCTCCAAAGACTCAACAGATCCTTCAGTTACCTCCTCCCGTCTCTTTGACTAAACTGCGTTTCTTTTTAGGAATGGTGGGTAATTGTAGAGCCTGGATCTTAGATTATGCACTCTTGTCAGCCCCTCTATCTGCTCTACTGAAAAAGGACATTCCATTTTTGTGGACAGACGAATGTGAACAGGCTTTCCAAGGCCTGAAACAGACCTTGATTTCTACTCTTGCTTTGGTTTTACCAAATTATAAATTGGATTTTGCCTTATACTACCATAAGGTGAATGAACACAACCTCTTGGGGATCAACAAAGACCTGTGGGCTACTGTTCCTACAAATGAGACACAGTAGCTAGGGGGTACCCACCTTGCCTTAGAGCTATAGCTGCTGCTGCTCTGCTCATTGAAAAGACTGCAACAATTGTTTTGGGAAACCCCCTTCTAGTGGCAGTGCCTCATGCTGTGGAATCTTTATTGGCCATCTGCATCTCCTGCCTATTTCTTCAGCAAGGATGTGCAAATTCGATACGTTATTATTGCAGATCCCAAATGTCTCTGTGGTGCAGTCCATCCCCTCTTTTAATCAACCCATGTCGTTGCCAATGGAAATGTCAGACAGGAAGTGTAATGATCATGACTGTTCTGTGTTAACCCTTACTCACACTCTCCCTCATCCTGATTTGGAAGAATCTCCATTATCCAGTACTGATATGGAGTTACAGTATATGTGGATGGCTCTGCTTACATCATAGAAGGTGGAAGGATGGCAACAACAACAATCTAGCAGTACCTCTACAGTTTTCTACCCCATACCTTGTGACTATTCCGTATCTCTGCGTCCACCAAAATTGTTTTTCTAGAACTCTGGGAAAACTGGCATGGTGGTATCCTGTAGGGACCTCTGAGGGCTGTGAAATATTGTGGACATAACCGTGGATGGCACCATTATAGCAAGTGGCACAAAGACAATGTATATTATATATTGGAATTTTTAAATGGAATTTTTATATAGGCATTTAATATACAAATAAAAGGTCTGCAGGACTATTGGTTGCTGGCTTTTGGGCTCTTTATGAGCACCATTGCCCTTTGTGCCCCCCAACATTATAATAATATTGTGCAAAGTGATATTATTAATACTCTTATTTGGCCTTCAACTTGTAAAAATATGATTGGTATGGTATTTGACACCAATAAATGACATACTAATGACTGCCATTTTAAATTACAAGCCCCAGCTAGGCTTCCTGGACATCATCACAAATACTATGTTTCCCTACAGCCTGGGTTTTATTGGATATGAAGAGAACATGCATATAAAGCCCTACCTGAGAACTTTGAGGGAAGTGTACGCTAGGGAATGTAGTCGTAGATATATCCTACCATTATGAGATCAATGGCCCTCACCACTTAACATTCTGTAAATATATTGAGAACCCCTTAATAGAAAGGTAATATTGGGATTATACGGTCCTAAAAGAGTTTTACTACCAAATCTGGAGGTTTATGAATTATAGAAAGCCATTATCAATGTCTCTGTCGAAATTGAATTAGCATTCCATGCAGTAACTGATAGCTTACATACTATACAAAAAAGGAGAAGTTGGCCACCTTAGCATGAACAATAGAATGGCCTTAGATTACTTGCTTGCTTCACAGTATGTAAATTAGTAAATTCTTCCTGTTGTGTACGGATTAATCAACATAGTCTCATGGAAACCAATATAACTGTGATTCATAAACAAGCTCATATTTTAGACTCCATGCAAAACACTCAAATCATACAGGGAGGTTTGGAGCATAAGCTATTTTCATTTATTTCCAACTTCACCTCTATTTGGGGGTAGGTTAAGAATCTGCTAGCTATGGGACTAGTATATTGTCAGTGGGTTTGTACTAGGTCCCCTGTGGGCTCATCCCCAGGTTGGTCTGTCACCATCATGAGCCCCCACCCCCATATTGACCTGCTGAAAAGGGGGAAAAGAAATGGGGGAATGTGGTGGTATACAGCATCTGAATCATATTAAGCATATAGAATTGTGTTTTAGTAGCAGTAGTGTAAATACATAACTTAACACCTAGTGCTGTGGCCCTGGAGTGGAGAGAGTTAGTAGAACCCAGCCCTTAAGCACTTAGAATTAAGTAACAGGAAAGTGCAATGTAAACACCAATGTGCAGTATTATAAGAATGGTACAATCGAAAGAGAAGACAGCTGGAATCAGAATTAAAGTTAAAACACTAATAACTTGAGATAAGTAACTGACACCACTTTGTTAGCCAAAATTAAAGAAAACCTAGAAACTCATTATGAGAACAAAAATGAAAAATCTGAAGTAATGTTAAATATTAAGAAGATAAATATAATATCAATCATGCTTAATCATGATGATAAAGAAGAGATAGTGGTAGATCTGGATTCTTTTGTTCAAGAATACATCGATGATCTGCTGGAAAAGAAAAGAGAGGAAGGCAATGACAAATTAAGACAAAATCATGAAGGAGAATAGTTAAAGCAGTTGTCTTTCGAGTACTAATATGCAGCAGTGAAAGCTTGACATTGAGAACAAAGAAGAAAAGGAGGATAGATGCCTTCAAATTATGGATGTGGAGATGGATACAGTATCATGGAACTCAGGAAGAACTAATACTGGCCCAAATAAAGACTGATTGTTCCCTTGAAGCAATGAAGAAGTAGAAATTTCCATACTATGAGCATGTTATGTGAGTGAAAGATGGACTAGAAAAAAAAAATCTCTATTTGGCAAGGTTAAATAGAGGGGGAGATAACTGACAAAGTGGGTAAATGGCATCATTTTTTTTTTTAAACAGGATTGTCCTTGAAAGAAATGCAAGTTATAACTGGAGACAGGTCAGGATGACAAACATTTGTTCATGGTGCCATTAGAAATGAAGCCTGATTTGCTAGCACCTAACCAGCTCTTTAGTTTCCATACTCCAGTGTTGATATGAGTCTTTATTCTGTCTTAATCCATGGCATTCACTGTTGTTCCCATTGCCATTCTTTATACACTCTTTGTAATAGAAGGGCACCGTTGGAAGATCTGAAAGATAAGTTAGGGACAGATTGTCATAGGTAAAATCTATCCATGTGGTCAATGAGTCGGTAACAACTTGATGGCATGTAATCAGTCAGTAGAAAGGCTAAAATGTATGGACCTTCCAGGTGCTTTTGGTCTGTTTATTTCTAGTGTTTAAGTCTTCATATGAGTAAAGATTATAACTTTATGACAAAATCTTTGCTTGATATTTTTATGTCTGAATTCTTGAAGCACCAGCAGTTTTTAAATAAGTTTTCATAACATTGCAATATTACCTGACTGTGGGATGATTAATTTCATGGGATTAAGAGGGGTAGAGTAGGGGAGAGTTATAAATGTGGGTCCAGGAACATTCTGTGATAGAACACTTTACATACCCTTTATGTGAGCCTTCACATTTTGTTCTGAAAGAGATAGTTGGACATATGGTTAAGTGTGTTTTTATGGAGTATGCATGATGACCTCCAAACGAAGACTGGTTCTGATGTTTGGTCTCTGACATTTTATCAGAAACAGTGTTTTGAAATCAATGCTGATTCATATGAAGCTGAAGAATATAGGTCTGACACAACTTCATCATACCAGGAAGTATTTTAATTGTCTCCTAGATTTTGTTTTGTCATTGTTGGCTGCTGTTGTTAATTTTAAATATTGTCAATTAAAAAATCATAATATATTTTTATTAGTGAAGTATTGTTTCAATGTACTAATTCATAAATATTGTTCCATTAAAAATAAAGACCACTGTTGAGCTAAACAGATTTGAACATGTAGACTATTAGTTTGCTGTACAATATCAGTTTTGCCCATTTCAGCAAATAGAACTTTGGTTAGCAACTGATGATTCTGTAAAATTCCAGTTGCAACTAGTACAGCTTTTCTTGGCAGGCCATAATCAGTTATTCATAAGAAATATTTCTGTTTTTTGTATTAACATTGTTATCAGTATTTCAATTTTGCTTAATACTGGGACAGTTAATTAAACTTTGCTTGGATATGATGCAAGTAGGATTCAAAAACTAAAAACAGAAGATTTCAACAAACTTCTCCTGCAAGGTACCCTCACCTATCCCATTATTCCTGGCCAGGCAACGGTTTCCCCTGTACTAGACTATTCTATTGTGATACTTTTCTGTATTCAACTAGAAAAGTTAGAAATGGATTAGTTTAAGGATTTTGTTAGATGAATTTCATATTAAACTATTTAGAATAATCTTATAATTTTCTCTTTTGTTTGCAGAGATTTGAGTTATAACGATTTGTTATCCTCTAATTGGAGTATTGATTCATCAGGCCAAATACTGCAAGAAGTGTAAGTTATTTTAGCTAGCTGTAATGTAATAGACTAAGTGATGTTATGGCATTAGAAGTTATAATATTACATCAAATGACGTAACACTTGAGAATGACAGATTAAGCAGAAAAAATTTACACAAGGTCTCTAATAATAGGATTGTCAGTGAAAGAGTTTTAAGAAGGGAAGGAAAAAGGAAAAGAGAATTAAGCAATGCAGGAGCTGTGATAGTAGTAGCATATCAATACCGATCTACCTTAAACAGTAGCAGTGTAGGCTGCAAACTTAAACAAGGTAAAGAAAGCATTCAGAGCATGGCTTCTGCAAACATTTCTAAGCCCTTAATAATCATTCTGGATCGTACGACCAGGAAGGAGGAGGGAGTGGGGTTTAGAATAAAACAACTATGTTATGAGCCACTGCCCTACTGTCTTTGCCATAGGGATGTATTGGGGGAAGCCCCCAGCTTGATCTGGCCTATTTTTAAACCCATTCTTTCTTTTAGCAGCTTCTTTCCCCACACCAAATTTGGTCAATGTGGTTTATGTTTTCAGAGTTTCATGCTGATGTACAGATAGAGTCCTGAGCACTTTTTTCTCTAGCATTTCATTGGGTTGGAAATATTTTTTTTTAAAAAGTCAGACTTTAAGTCAAGCTTGATATCTGGTGACCACAAGGGCAAATAGGTGTTTGGTACAATAGGGAAGAGGTTAGGCATTGCCTCCTGCGATTTGTCCCCCAAATTCCTAGCCTAGCCTACAGCCCTGAGGTTTCATAGTGGCTTCCCACTAAATTACTAGCCTGATCTGACCTTGATTAGCCTTTTTTGAGGTTAGCCAAGTTTGGCTAGGGTACTGCCTGTGTTTCTAATCATTAGAAATAATTTAGCTGTTTGGGTTTTACAATATAAGTTTGGGTTTTACAATATAAGTTTTGGGTATAAGATGATATACTTTTTTAAATTGAAGAGTGTGCCTCTTCAGTAGGCTTACTTGTATTATAAATCTAGTAGTGTTGGTGATAGTTCATAGTTTTCAGTTCTGCTGCTCAATTTATGGTTCTTAAACCAGTTTGCATGTATAGAAATGTTCTTCAATTAATATAGAATTTAGGATTCATTGGTGCTTACATGTTTAATCTTCTCTGGAAGAAGTAGACTTCCAGTTCTGAGAAATAGTACATTTACGAACACTTGCGAATGACATTCTGTTGATTTAATTCAAATAATAACTTTTATTTACTTTTGAAGCTCTTCTTATGAATGAAATGTTCTAACAATCCTTGACATAGTATTTCACTGAGAGTATCAGTGTTCTTCTGAGGTAGTCCATACTATTTTCACAATTTTCCAGGATGACTAAATTCAAATGACGATTACTAAAATTACTTAGGTGCTTTGAATTGTTTAGCTTTTTCTGAAGTTCACTCCTGAGGATGATTCTAGATTTGTTTCTTTTAAATGCCACAAACTCAGTTGTAATACATAGAAAACAAATATTAATACACAGAAAATGTATTCTGTTTTCATTAATATTACTTCTTTCTGAGTGCTAGTAAATAAATCTTTCTTTCAGGAAGATGAATCACAATGAACTAAGTGGCATTCCTCACTTTGGTGAACTGACTTCTAATATCACACTACTGTCACTGTAAGTTAATATTCACAGATTTTTCAGGATGATTGTTAAACTTAGCAGGGTAGAAAATAAAATCCTATTAGATAATTAAGTAAAAATGAAGCATGTGGTATGTTTGAAAAGTAAGTTGAAATTCTTATGTAATTAATATCTATAGCAATACTATGAAACAGCATTTAAGAACAAGGTAATATCGGAATCAGTTTGTACTATCTGTTCAAGCTGAACATTCAAATAAGCTAAAATGTTCATCGAATGGTTCTGGCAAGTGGTCCATCAAGCTGTTTGTATAGTGGCCCATTCAATCAACAGAGAAGCACATTCTAGAGCCATAATCGCAAAGGAAAATCACAGTGATCCTTGACACTTTGCACTAACTTCATCCAAGTTTGTATGCTAAAAGGATGAGATTTGGCTTAAAACAGAGTTCATATCATCAAAATAAACAGCTTCTAAGTATTGTTCTGGATGCACATTTAGTCTATAAGATGTTTATTTGTATTCTACTAAGGAGCTGAAATTTCAGAGGTGATGTAAGTATGGCTTTTATGGTGCTTTTTCTTATGCTCTTAGAGTGCATAATTCAATTCAGGAGATTGTCTCTGAACAGCTGCAGCCTTATTTTTCCCTGGAGAACCTTGACCTCAGCTCTAACTTCATCACAGAAATCAAAGTTTCTTCATTCCCGCGTATGCAGCTGAAGTACCTGTAAGTAAATGGGACAGTTAGCATGAGGCACTGAAAGGAGTTTTTTCAATTTGTATATTGGTCTTCAGGATTTTTCCTAAAAATAAAAAGGTACAAAAGCTATTATGGATTTCTGTGTGCCAGGTAACTTACATTCTTTCTATATGCCATTGTTGTGAAGTCATAGTGATACTCATGAAATGATACAGCTTCACATTGGAACTAGATAAAATTATAGAGTAGATTTAGTAAAATTTCCTTCTCTCACACAACAATTAGATTCAGGAATCACTGGATAGAGAGATGGACATACAGGTAGATGGATGGATTCCCAGATTCAGAGGTAGTATCCCTCTAAATATCAGTTGCAGGAATAGTAGAGACTTTTAAATTTCATTTACTGACCATGATTAGAGATTGCAGCTAGACTGGATGGATGGATGGATGAATGAATGGATAGACAGACAGACAGACCTTTACTCATATCAAGCAGATCTTCACTATTTAGAATATTAATATGATTCTAAATATGCTACACTGTAGCTTAGTGAGACAGTGCATGTATCCTCCCAGGTTTATACACTTTCAGTTCCTTCTGCAAAACAGAATTCAAAAGCCTTCACTTTTAGTTAACTTCAACATGTAAGTCTGGACTAAGAACTGTAATGAATAGTAACTGTGGTTAATTTAAAACAAACCATAAAATGATTAATGTTAATCACACTTTGTTGCTCCAAATAACACAAGAAACCACAATTAATTAAAAGCAAGAACAAATACTCTTCAGCCATGTGGGAATAGAGAGAGTCAGCTCAATCACAGTTTAGTGCAATGCCTGAATGTGAACAAGTTGAAAAAGAAATATTTCTCTTAGTTGTCTCCATCCCTCAAAGCTGTAATATGTTTCAGATTCTCTTACATGATTGCTCAGGCTGCTTAAAGTAATAAGTTGCTGAGTGACAGTGAGAAATACCATCTCTATAAGGAACAATATCTAGCAAGCTGTGGATATGAGATCATTACTTTATTGTATCTGATTAATTCTGATGACTTCATCTAAGAATCAGTGAAACAGCCTGCTAAGCTTTCTAAAAGTGAACTTCCTTGAAGTAAGGAATAGAAGCTCTAAATCAAAATGTAATAGGCTCCTTTGGGATTTTTGTGTAATTATTCAAGCTAAATTTAATATCTGCCTTTTTAAAACTCTGCTTTTATAGGAATGTGAGCAACAATAGAATAACTACTCTGGAAGCAGGCTGTTTTGATAACCTGTCCAACTCCCTAATAGCCGTAAAACTGAACAGAAACAGAATAAGTATGATTCCACCAAAGACTTTCAGGCTACCTTATGTACAGTTCTTGTAAGTGGTTATACGCATGCATCTAATAAAAGAAATAAATAAGTTTTGTTGGGTCAATTTCAAGTGCAAAAAGCTATGCTTCAAACTACCATTCCTAGTATACATGCTAAAAGCTATCTTTTCAGCTCTCAACTGCATTACATGGGGTTATAGATCTGGTAACAAGTTTGATTTTCTCCACTGACATTTCCTTCTATCTGAGGATTTCCTTTAAAAAATATTACTTATAGGCTGCCATCTTACTAATTTTTGCTTGAACAGACTAAGCTGTTCCGGACTACAATTGGGGTACTCTGACCCTTTCTGCCAGTCACAGAATAATGGTGAGTCATTTAGGCTACTGAGTCCCTGCTTGGTACAGGAATCCAGAGCAATAATAGCTCCCAACATTTACATTCCATAATTCTGGATTCTGGGCAGGGGATTGAACTAGGTGATCCCTTCCAACCCTTAGATTCTGTTATTCTATTGGAATAGAGTTCACATTTTCACTATAAATATATTACTCTTCAAAATCCTATTTATTACTAAAACATAACTGTAATTAAGAATTTGTTGGTTGATCAACAGATTGAAGTATAGTCGTTGCATACGTATAAAAATGGAAGAACCATTTTTATGATGCATATATCTTATAACAGGTTTCAGTTTCAAGTCAAATTAAATATAGCCTTAGCATGCGTTTAAAAAAAACTGGGGAATATATTATAATAATTGTTACTGTATCAGGGAGAGGAATCTTTTTATTCTCTACTGCAGTTCTGATATAAATTTTATCACCTAAACTTTTTGTTCTGGGTGGAAAAATTGGTCATCTGAGGACTTATGTATTTAAGTATATGTCAATACTAGCTATGGCTTTATGTTAGTAACCATACAGTTTTGTAGTTCAGTTCTTGTATTTTTGATGGCTAAATTACATTCTCTACATTACATCAAAATGTAATATTTTTATTAGGATAGCAAGCATAGGAAAAATAAAGTTTGTGTTTGGTTTCCATTAGCTTATATTTAAAATGTTATTTTTAGGGAACTTAAAAGAAACCGCATTAAGGTAATAGAAAGCCTTACCTTCCAAGGCTTGGACTCATTGAAATCATTAAAAATGCAACGCAATGGGATTAGTAATCTAATGGATGGTGCCTTTTTTGGACTGAATAATATGGAAGAATTGTGAGTATACAATATAATCTCTTCATTATAAATCCTAGATTTCATTAGCTGAAAGGGCTGATTAAGTTGTATGATAGATGTGCATTAGACCATATTGTCTTCCCAATTTGTTTAAGCAGTATAATTTATCATTATTTTTAATAGTTCATGCTCCATAGTACAATTTATAAGGCTTTCAGAAAATGGTGGCAGATAACAGCTCACAACAGTAGCAATAACAAAATGAATGAATGTTGAATTCATTGCCTTTTGCTTTCTACTTCAACATTTCCTTTCTTTGCCCTCTAAATTCTCATGGCTTCTGTATTGCGGAATTGTAGGTACCGTAGTATTTAACAATAGCTTTGTATTTCTACTAGCACATTGCTATATATGGTATGTATTACTAATTTAAAACATATGTAACATTTTCTTTTGATTCTGTAGAGAGCTGGAACAGAATAACCTGACAGAAGTAAATAAAGGATGGCTATATGGCTTGAAGGCACTGCAAAAGCTCTATGTCAGTCAGAATGCCATTAACAGGATTGGACCTGATGCGTGGGAATTCTGCCAAAGCCTTTCTGAACTGTAAGTACTTAACATTTGTTTTATTGAGGTGAATTTAGTGGAATAAATTGCTTTCTCAGTTGGGAAAGTTACTCAACATATCTTACAAAAATGTATCTGTCTTCTCAAATCAAATTGATTTGGGGTGTCACAATATTTCCACAATCTTGTTACTTACATTTTTCTCTTTATTGTACCTTTCATTTCAGAGATCTGTCATACAATCAACTGACTCGCCTAGATGAGTTTGCTTTTATTGGAGTGAATGTATTGGAAAAATTAAATTTGAGTGACAACAGACTCAGTTACATTGCTGATGGGGTTTTTAAGGGACTTTCATATCTGCAGACTTTGTAAGTGTATATAATTCATAGGGAAAATAGCATTTATCAGAGAAGGAAGTTAGCAGGAATAAAAACTTTCAGGAGAGTGTTGGTAACGCTTATGGTGTTAAAAATACAAAGGAGAGATGGGTCCCTTTTTGAAGATTAGCCTTATATTATTATCCATATGCATTTCAAAGGGTTAAATGTGTGAGGTTAACTTATTGTATCAAAGAGCTGGGCAGTATTGCTCAGGTTTATTATTTTCAGCACTTCTTGGTGCTTCTTTAAAGGATTCAGCATTTAAATGGATTTTGTGTAGAATGTAACTCATAAGCTTAAATTGGATAATTCTTACTGAGTCATCGAGAGGTGCTCCTTTTCCTAAACATCTGTCTTCATGAAGAACTCCTAAGCAAGTCTTTTTTTTTTCCCCAGGCTGAGTACTTTCTGTGCTAGGATAGGAGGCTAAAGTGCATGTAGATACATATTACATACATATAGTAGTGCACAAACTTGGCATTTGAATATATGTAGAATACCTTTCCCTTTCAATCCAGCAAAGGGCAACCTGTCCCTCACAAAGAACATTGGAGAAAGGTTAAATATGAAAATGGTATTATACCCCAGAGATTTCCTGCAGTTCCCTTTCTGGAAATTAAGCATTACTCATTTCCCTGGTGAGCTCTACTGTAGCATACAAGAATCAGTTTTCAAAGGTAACATTTAAAGGGATAAGAGACACAATCTTTCAAACTCTTCCATTGAAATTCATTCAAGAGTTTTTGTCTTTTCTGCAACATTAATCCACATATCCCAGTATTCTTGTCATCTGGTTGTTTATTGCTTATTATAACTAGCCTCCTTTCTTTCTGGTGCAAAAACAGTACAGTGAATTTTAAAAGGTTCTGGGAGATGGAGAAAGATTGCAGAGATGAGTAAAATGTTTGAAATTCTTCTGCATGTATAAAGCATAAAGAACATGGTTAACCTTCATGTTATCCTTAAAAACATTTTTTTAAAAAAAATATTTGGAAACAATATATTATTGGGTATAGAGATGGAAACTGCACAGCAAAAGTGCAAAAGAGACTGAGTTGGGGTAACAGGTTTCCTCAGGGAGAATAACTAAAACATAGCATGAAAAAGATAGAAAGTGATGTAGCTATCTTGTCACTCACAGCTACCATTAAGAGCTGCAATATTATTGGGAAGGAAAAGAGAAGAATCTGTTGCCCAAATAGTTACAGCCTTCTGAAGGCTTGCATAATCGATCATATTGTTTTAAATTCAATGCAGCCTTTAACTTACAGGGATTAGTTAAAGCTAATATTTTAGACTTGGAATAGCATGAAACCAAAGAACAGCAGGTTAATTAGTAAATTTTGTTGGGATCTTGAGAACATTAAGTTGCTAACAGGCTAGGTTTTTTTGGTTCAGGGTCATTGGATGTTTACAGACAATGGTCTGAGAGTGATTAACAGGGCTCCAAAGTATTTGTGCCTAACTGGACATGAAAAGTAAGCGCCTGCTGGCCCACCCATTAAGGGCCTACTCAAAAGAACTTGTTCTAGTTACAGATGACATGTATCAACTTCAACAGCCGGAAGAGTTTTCCTTTAATAGATCTTTACCTGTGTCGGCAGCTTTGCAGCATAAACTAACTTACCACCCTGGTTTCAGGCCAGAAAATAGAATACATGTTGCATAATTGTGATACAAAGTGCAACATAGCATTTGTTTTGCTATACAGGTTTTCTCAGAAGACATAACTCAGGGCTGGATGACCTACTGAGGCACTGCTTTTGTTAAGGAACTGTCAAGATAATCATTTATGTGGTTAACAAATTAATTTCTGAAAATAATAAGCATCTTAATTATTCTCTCACTTTACAGCATGAATACAACATCAGGAAGGTTATATTGATGCTGAAAAATGCTAGTACATTATACCAAATAAGAGAAGTCCTATATTTTAAAACGTTGTGTTGATTTTTTTGTGCATTCTCATTGATAAACTGCTGCCTAAGCTTCTGAATTCCGGTGTTCACTAAACTGTGAAAGGAAAGTGAGAGTTGATAAATTTATGACCTGCCATGTAAAGGAAATGGACTGCTAAGCTTATTAGATTTCAGCTAAGCATCCCCCTTTCCTCTTAGGAGTTCACTGAATTGGTTTTAACAACTTTCTCTTCTGTGCTTCAGAAAGATGTATAGCACAGAGGGATAAACCGAAGTCACATTGGCATATAGCAGAACCTGTGAACAAAACCATCTATAAGTCTTTCTGAAAATCTCTTTTTTCATAGCTAGCAATTCTTCATTCAACCTATATATCATCTCTTAATATGCTAATGCTATAAGCTTCTCGCTCCATTAACATTAAAGAATGTACAACATTAATTCAGCTGAAGAGGCTCACCAGTTGGTGGTAAATGACATACTGAAACCATTAAAGACTAATGGATAGTGTTCAGCTGGAGTGATGCTGCTGCTTGGCTTTAGTTCTAGTGATTTTCCATAATTCCACTTTCTCTGTTTTTACATTGGGGTTATGTTCATGTATTAAATCTTTCAGTGATTGTTTTTCTACTAAGATATAACTCATTAGAGCAGCAACTCACTAACTACACACAAATGTGAACATCCATATGAGGAGATCTCATTGCAAAATTGAATCTTAAAAATTGCAAGTCCTGAAAGGGAGAGGAGTAATTTGGGGTTAGGAGGATTTATTTTGTTTAGTTTTGCTTTGCTTTGTTTCTCAAATATGTTATTTGGTGTGTGTATTTATATTTTTAGAGATCTACGGAATAATGAGATCTCCTGGGCCATAGAAGATGCAAATGAAGCATTTACAGGACTTGAAAGACTCAATAAACTGTAAGTGTTACAACTTGTAGAATTGATTGATTGAAAAGTGAAACCTTCAGGGTATGTGACAGTCTGTTTTATTGATACTTTTAGAAACATTTCATATCATGTAAGATTTGGGTTTGATATTATTAAAAAAAAAAAAGTTGAGTGTGTCAAGTCTTACGAAGTGATACAAAAAGATACTCATTCTCATCTCACAAAGAAAAGAAGTCAAAAATACACTTTCTCCTAAAAGCTTATGTTTTCAAGAAGGCAGGGCTTTATTTGTAACATACATAGCCAAAATGTGGTTGTAAACCCTGGAACAGCTTGGCATACTGTATGGACATAAACAGTTATGGTTTATTCAGTAAACCATGGATAAACATGTCCAGTCCAGCCAACATGTTGAAGTATAATTTGTTTTCAGCATAGTTTTTTGAATAATCCAAAGAACAACTAGAGGCAGTATTACAGGCAAGGGAAGGAATCACTGCTTATTGGATCGATTCCTGTTTCATTCTTCCTGTTTAGGTATTCTAGCCTTGTATTGCTGTGGATTGGTTAGAGGCTAGGGCAAAGCATACATTCAAAAAAGTAGTAAGTCAGACATAAAAATTAATCATGTCTTCCGTGCATACTTTATTCTAATTAGTTGCATTTGGTAAGATGACCACAAACCATGTTGATTGCCCTAAAGTTATGTTTTATTTACTGTGTCCATTCATATATAATAGGACAGGAAAAGCAGATTAACTTATGGTTAGCACTATATGGAAGCTTACCCAGGGTAAGCTATAGAAGCCTGTTCAAGGAAATTTATAGCAGGACTACAAGTACTTTTAAAAACAAAAATAAGGCTTTTGTAGCTTTGTGTAAGAATACACTGATTATTCTCCTTTCTCCTCGATCATTCTGAAAGTTTTGACCCTCACATTATAAAGGGAAAGAGTTTTAGTGCGGCTTCATTGTCAGATAAAAAGCAATTATCATAAGCAATATTGTAAAGTTGCTATCTATTAAAAATATATTTTGGAAAGCAGTTTCTTGATGGGATTTGTTGCTTTATTATGTATTATCTTAAAATCAGCTATGAAAGTTGCTGCTTACATGCCATTAGAATTCATTTTTCAGCTGGCTGTGTTCATTCATGCCGGCTTTTTTCTAGCTTTTAATCCTTTGCTTCAGTAGCCGTCCACCCTCTTTTTCCTTTCTGCTAGTAAGGACAAAAGAGAATGGGAAACAGTGCAATGAACTACTATAGTAAGGAAATATATTTCAGTAAGTTGTGATGGTGAGGCTGTTGTGAAAGCTAGATAGAATTTGCAATACTCCAGATGGTCAGACTCTCATATGAGGCACAGGATAGACCTTCATCTGTCTCAGACATACAATTTACATACAGGTAGTCCCCACGTTAAGAACACCCAAGTTACAGATGACCCATACTTAAGAATTAATTAATTAATTAAGAGGGCCAGTTTGGTGTCATGGTTAAGGTTTTGGCCTAGAAACCAGGAGACTCTGAGTTCTAGTCCTGCCTTAGGCATGAAAAACCAGCTGGGTGACTTTGGGCCAGTTGCCGTCTCTTAGCCTAAATCACCTCACAGGGCTGTTGTGGGAAAATAGGAGGAGGAGGGAGTATTGGTATTTGCCACTTTGAGTTGTATATGAAAAAAAAGGGATAAAATTTTTTTAAAAAGAAGCCTATTATAGCAAAATTTGAATTAACTACACAATAATTCAAATTAAATACATAATGGTTTGAGTTCATTACACAATACTACTTATATGGTATTTTACAATAATACTGTTCCAGCTTACATACAAATTTGACTTAAGGACAGACCTTGGGAATGGA